GAAGGCAGACGCTTAACGACTGAGCCACCCAGGCGCCCCAGATGTTACATTTATTATGTGTGACTCTGTTCTCACAAAAACTGCTAGAAACGTATGTATGTCAGAATGCAGGCAAAACTAAACGACAGCAGGAGCTTTGAGAGCTGGGAAAACAGTTTGTTAGGCAGCTGGTCCTGGGACTCAGGTGCTGAGCCTGCCCTTGAACAAGATTCGTCACGGTTGTGGGCTAGTGTGACTGTAAGACAGACCCACACCTCTGCCTCAAGAGTAGCGCTGAGGAGGAATGCAGTGGGCATTATGTCACCGACCCAGACAGGGCTCATGGTTGAACACGGTAAGCTGAGGGAGGGGCTTGGATCAGGCAGGGAGCAGTCAGGATACCTGAAGCATGCAGCTGGTTGGTCAGTTGACTGAACTATATGCCAGCAAGTGAAAGAGTGAAACAGAGTGTGGAGAAACAGAGCTGTACTCATGAACTTGTTTGTCTTGGCATTAAAGACATTCTGCCTTCTAATGTCTCAATCCTGGACTGTGTTGTCATCTCAACCTGAAGGGATAATACCTTAGAGGGGTAATGGTCTGTATGGCTTCTATCTATCTCTTTGTATTTTTTTTAATCAAAAGCATATATGTAGTAGTGCCTGGGTGGCTCAGTTAGTTAACCATCCAACTCTTGATTTTGGCCCAGGTCATGATCTCAGGGTTGTGAGATCGAGCCCCACATCGGGCTCTGCACTGGGCCTGGAGCCTGCTTGGGATTCTCTCTCCCTCTCCTTCTCCCCCTCTCTTCCACCCCTCCCCCCTACTTGTGCGCAGGCGCACTCTCTAAAAAAAAAAATGCCTAAAGTTATGCAGAACATTTCATTTTAAATAGTTATATTCCCTCTGACAAAGCAAGCTAAAGTCAAGTAGAAATTATAAATAGAATTCTTTCACTTTAAAATCATGTAGTGCAATGTATTTTCATTGAAGTTGAATTATTAACGAAAATTATTTGTAGTCTTTTTAACGGTCCTTTTTAAGATATAATCTCATTAACAATGAAATCTTGTAACCTTTTTCTTAGCATACATCTGTAGATGGATACACTGAACCGCATATCCCGCCTACCAAATCAAGTAGCAGACAAAACATTCCTCGGTGTAGAAACTCCATTACGTCAGCAACAGACGAACAGCCTCACATTGGAAATTATCGTTTACAAAAAACAATAGGGAAGGGAAATTTTGCCAAAGTGAAATTGGCAAGACATGTTTTAACTGGTAGAGAGGTAAGTTTTCATGATGCTTTTTAATATTTACTTGGACCTCTCCAGGGTCTTGTTACAAAGCTTTCCTATGAGCTGATGCTGGGAATAAATGACATTTGAAATACGGTAAATACTGAGATACGTGTGAATGGAACATCCGTAGACAGAGCTATAATAAGGCACAAAAAGTTGGCCTTTGAAGGTTCAGAAAAGACTCATCCCTGCCTGTAGCGTCTCATAAATCAGGCATACTACAGTTGAGCTTTCCTCGGACTTCTGTCTTCTTTATATGGTTTCTGTAAACATTTTTGACTACCTTTGTTCCCCGACCCTAGGAACAGGGCCAGGGTAAGTTCTCATTACTTACTGCTTAAGGTAAATTAGGTATAAATGTGTATAAAGTCACCCACTACTTTTTATCTGTTCAGAGACCACATTGCACTTGTGGTTAAAAACAGATGTTTTTCTCAGGTAATAAGAGAATTGGGTTTCTAAAATCCCATGTGTTTTAAATTATGTGTATGTGGATAGCAAAAATGTGTGTATTTAATCTTATTACTAATATTTAATAATTTGTATAGTAGAGACTAAAAAAGTTAGTATTACTTAATGTTTCCTGGATTCAGTTAGGACATTATGAAGATCTCAGTCATAATTTGTTTTTAATAAGTTTTTCTTTTGCTCTGTACATAATATTGTCACTTATGGTTCATTTTAGTCCTCTGCCCATTCTGGCTCCAGGAACTGTTCAGACACAGGCTCTATTAGGCAGAGAATTAGACTTAATCCACTTGGTTAGTCTGGGGCTGTAAGCGAACTTGGGTGTTTGATTTCTCTAATCATTTTATTCACATGATACCTAACCTACTGAAAGCTTATAATCCCCTCCCTTCTGATAATTATAACTTACTAAGATCATAAGTAAAAGATTAAGATACAAATGATTTTCACTTTAAAGGGGAGACTTGGAAGAAATACGAAAGGTGTCATTTTATTGACTCAGAATCCGATATGCTAAAGACATGGGTCAATGGAATACATCATAAGGCTGCCAGATTGTCACAACTTTACCATCTAGTGATCTGAACACCAAATATAACTAAATTACATCTAGTTAGGAATGAAACAAAAGATTTTTTCTTTATAAGTTTTTAATCCATCAAAATACATATTCTCAAATATATAGTTTAATGATTCTCTTTTTCAGGTTGCTGTGAAAATAATAGACAAAACTCAGCTAAATCCGACCAGTCTACAAAAGGTATTTAATTATTTTAATAGTAATTAATTAGAATATGAGTTTATTAATATATGATATTCTGTAAAGTCAGTTATCCTAAATTTCCTATTAGGTAAAATACTACATGTCAGCAGTATCTGAAGGAAAGACATGGTATAAAACATAATATTTATATTTAATAATATTTCAATTATATTTATCAAGTAGTTGTTTGAGAAGTATCTACAACTCAAATTCATACACCATAGGAAAGGAATTTATGTCTTTTAATTCAGTAGAATAAAACTTTGTAACAAATATTTTGAAACACTCATGATTCTGTTTTGTTTAAAAATCTGTTTATAGTTAAATTGCCCATAGACGGTTTCCTTTTATTGCTTCACTTTCTTTTCTTCCTTTTCCACAGGAACTAGTCCCTCAGCTAGCTTAGAATAAAAAATATGAACATTTCTTCAAAGAGTGCAAATAAAAAACAGCAAGGGGAGGAAAAGAAAGGAGTGAGGGTGGAGATTGCCCTGCTTAAACCTAGGAAAAGCTCTTTCAGGTTGCTCATTACTTATCTGGGAGAAGTTTCTCAGATACACATTTTAGTACATTAAGAATGAAGCAAATATTTTAACCCTTACGCCATATGTGTTAAGTTTGTATATGGCAAATTAGTATACATTGTGATCTTTATTAAAATGTAGTAGGATCATGGTCACATATGGAAATGTGACAGATAACTTTTGAGTTCCTAAAAGAGGTCGAATCTTAATGTAAGAACTTCTTAGTATGGTGTGTTTAACTATACTTGCAGTCATTTTAACGTTAAATTAAAAATTTGGGTCTGTGATATCAAGGCTCTCCCACTTAGCTCAGTGCCAGATAACTCAGTTTATTTTATCTACTTCTACTCAGAGATCTTTGTACTACTTACTGAGATTCCTTTTAAATTTAGCAATCAATGTAACTTTTATAGCACTGATATTTCTGATCAGGGAGAACAAAATATTTGCTTCATTCTTTTTTTTCCTCTGTGAAATGGTATACCTTATGGATGTCTTCTGGGAGAAACTTCTAGCACCAGTCTGTTAGCTAATTAGGATGCAGTGGTAAGAGTTATAAAAAAGTATCCTCTCTGGGCAGATGAATTACCCAAAGATGCTCTTTCCCTGGGCTGGAGCCACAGTGGGGCAGATTTTGCCACCCCTCTGCCAGGAATCTTCTAAAAATGCACAAAGTGCTTACGTGTGCCCCGTGGCCCCATCCATCACGCATCTGGCTTCTCCACTCTTCCTGGATTAATCTGCGAGTTGCTCTAGTAAACCGAGTGATTTTAAGTGACATTAAGTGATTGAGGCCTGTTTTGCAAGTTAGATGCCCAGTAATATGACCCCCACTCAGTCTTTGCCAAAGGGGCCCAGAGAAAGCTGTAGGACCACAGTTGCACTTGTTGAAACACGCAAACGTGAAGCTGAATGTTGCTTTATTTATCTGAATAACTAAAACATGAACTTGATGACAAGTAATTTCTGTTGTAAATTCTGCTAATCTTGCTGATGAAGTGTTGCTTTTCCAAATAGGTATATAAAGAATGATGGCAATTTTGTTTTCTTTAATCTATGCAAATAAAATCCAAGGAAAGATATGTTCACTAAATGTAGCTCTGTACACTGTGGGTGTGTCATTATTTTTGAAATTTTCATTTATGCTCATAGATTTGCTCTCAGTTAAGAGTTTTGAAAACAAACAACAGACAAGGCTTATAGAACATTCAACATGTGGCCAGTAGGATCTCCCAGTCTCTTTTTATATCTAAAAAAGCAATAATGAATGAGAAGTATAATCTGTTAGTTTTCCTTAGCATTGACAGTGAAGTCCTTTAGGTAAAAAATAGCAAAACACGTTGTCCATGTCATTGGTGTGCTTATTAAAAGGCAGATAATGATAACACATATATTTGAAATAAGGATTCATTTTAATCTAATTTCCAAAAGCATTTGGTTAAATCTTCTTCTGGACTTGATCTGAATTTAAGCTGATTCCCATCCTTTATGTTCTCTTTTGTGTGTAACATATTTATAGGAAATAGTACTTTCCTTTGCCAACATCAGTGATAGACAAAGTAACCTAAATTTGATACTGCAACTGTTTAAAACTTCTAAAATATAAAGCTCTCAAAAACAGTTTGGTCTTTGGAATTGTTAAGCATCTTTGGCTTCAATGTTGTTTACGTAATATGCTCATATTATTTTGTATCATATATTTTGAATTAGTGGGATCCAATTTAGTGAGTTTTCATCATTTAAAAATTATTTGAGTTCATTGCTGTATTTACCCCTTCCTCTTTGGACCATGAGTCTCACCTGATATTTTAATTAGTGTTTTTTGGGGTAGGGTTTATGAACTAAACTAGCAATTCCTGGGGATCTTTTAAGCAGCCTAATAATGTTGGAAGAAAAGCAAAACAATGAAGCAATTTTGTTGATAGTTCATGTACTCGAAATGTAAGATTAATTCATTTTTTCAGAAATTCCACTGAGTTTTTAAACTTGGACACATTAGTTTACACATGGATGACAAAGTCTGTGTTAGCCTTTCTGAGCTCATAGCCATGTGGGTGCAGTTTATCTATCTTCTGTGTATTGTTTATTAATTTGTATTTTCTGTTGTTTTACTATGTTGCATTATAGTCTCAACTCACAAAAACTTTCGGCTCAGTGGTTCTGAAGTGATTTGCTGAGTAGTAAAGCCTGAAATGAGAATGGAGGTACGACTGCTGTAACTCAGAGTTATGTCCTTAAATAATAAAGAGGGCTGCAGCATTGCAACGACATAGACTGTGAATCTCTGTGCTAGGACAGTGGTTTTGTACAAGCAGGGAAAGTACAATCAATTTTCAGTTAACTGACATCTGAGAATTGGACTTATTAAGTGAATAATCCGTTTACGCCTAATGTCTGGTATGTTATCTGTTGTGTAAAATGTTGTCAGATGGTGACCTAAGCCATTTAATCTTTGGTGAATTTTCAGATAAAGCCCAGCAACCTTTCTGGTAAGCTAGTTAAGTTTTCTAGAGCATCTGCAAAATAATTTTTACCATGGTCACTACAGGTAGAGAGGAGGACAGAACCATGGAAGCAATATTCAGAATTAAATTTCTGTTAGCAAATTATCAAGAAACCAAACTTGTAAAAGCAGTCATACAATTATTGACACATATTTTTATCAAGAAGAGAGCAGAAGAAGCTCTTTGGCAGGGTTCCTTAACAAATCTCTCTGTTGGACATATGTTGAAATACTAGTTACTGTCACATATGCATGCTTTAAAGCATATTTTACTTTATTGTTCTTTTCACATGTGTGGGCCATTTGAAGGAAAAATCTTGACCAATTCTTTTGTGGGTTGGTGAAAATCTAAATGATAAGAGTTAACATTTTGTGAGCTGGGTTGTAGACTGCAAAAGTTGTCTTCGAATTAGTTTTTCCCTTCAAATTAGAGGATGTCTGAGTTGAAGGCATAAATTTGTGACCCTGCCTACAGTTGAGACAGCCCAGGAAGAGAATACAGAAAGAAGAGAAGACCAAGCTTTTTTTTTGGAGAGCCTTTTTTTTGGAGAGTGTATATGGGGGCAGTAATTCTGCAAGGAATGATGCTGCCATGCGAATAAATAAGATTATACCTATGCCCAGTCACTCAATATTTCATTTGCCATGAAATTAGTGGTTAGCAACACACCTCTGATCTTGATTTGGCTTTGAAGGAAATATTGAAAACAGGTTATCATGAAATCATGGCTATTAAAAGATGTCTCTTTAGCGTACAGTGTGAAGAATTGGTGGGAAGTATATCTTTGAAACTGAAATATGATGGATTTTGAGGGAAAAGGTGTTCAAACAAGTTTCCTTTAAAAGGTGATACCAATAATGTTAATGTCTATCTAGAAATATGTTGAAGGTAAGATAACCAGATTTTCTGAAAAAAACAAAAAAAAAGTTTCAAGTAGTCCACTGACCAAAAATTTGACTTTTCTAAACCTTGTTGGCCCTCTTTAGTTATTGGACAGAAGGGTCAATGACCTATCTTTGGGCGTGTTTAACACACAAATGCTATATCCAAATGTGAAAGATAACCTTCCCGAGCAAGCATATCCAAAGAGTATATTAAGAATTCATTTGCTATTATCCTTCCAATCGAAACTTCTGGTCTTCCAACTTTTCCGTGTGATAAGATTAGCAGTCTAGACTGGAACCTGTCTGAGAGCTGTACATAATCTTCAGGGAGAAAGATCTTTGTAAAGTAATCAATCTGAATGTCGCTGACACATCATCTGATGCTGGTTCCTTTCTCCAATCTATATGATCATGACTTAGGATTTTTTTTTAATTCAGTAGAAATAAAAAATTTTAAAAAACCTTGAAATGGAAACTCTCTTATGGTCGCTAAGTGCCATTGAGCCTGATACATGTGTTCATTAATTCTTAATCTAACAAGAATTTATTGAAAGAAGGTTGTATTTCTCCATATATTTTCTTCTGTTTTTTGGCTCCTCCTTTTGTGTTTCCTTTATGTAGAGTCATTGCCTTTTCTGTTGGCTTCGATGTTAGACCCCCACAAAGCTTGGTCTTCTTTTCTTTCTGTATTCTCTTCCTGGGCTGTCTCAACTGTAGGCAGGGTCACAAATTTATGCCTTCAACTCAGACATCCCCTAAATTTGCTTGTAATTTCTCAAAGATAGCCCAAACTTATCATATCCAAAACTGAACTCCTGATCTCCGCCCCACTTGCTCAGTACCTAGCCCACCTGGTGTTCTTCCAGCATCCTCTCTCAGTGAATGACACTGTCCTCGAGTTGTGCAAGCCAGAAGCCCAGAAGAGCCCTTGACTCCTCACTCTTCCTTTTTCCCACCCTCTAGTCTATGCTTGGGTTGTGCAGATTTTGTCTTACAAAGCTTTTGAGAACATCTGCTTTTATCTTTTCCCATCACAACCACTCTAGACAAAGCTGCTGTTGTCTGTCCTGGGAACTGCCCCCTTA